ACAAAGTATGCGATATTGGCAAATATCCGAGGCCACATCGAAAGATCACGTAGCTTCAGTTGCATTCGAGGACGTTAACAAGCAGGATGAAAAATATGATATTGCAAATGGTGAAGAAGATTATTTTTATTTGTACAATTGTGTAAAAATACACGTAAAAGGAAGCTGATCCGTCAGATCACCACGATGAAGGAATAGATCATGGAAAAACGTGAGCGAGTTTTCAAAATAGAGTCAAACATATGGCGACGTATCTTACGTCTGGATAAGTTTAAAATACTGACGCCTATCACTTTTTACAATGCATCTGGATTCCTCCAGCGTCGGTCTTTGCTGAATCGAACTTGCTCACGTTTCGCCAATCGTCCTGTTGGCTTGCCCAGAGCTTGACTGAAACTAAACACCGTCTCGGAGAACTGATTCCTATATTGCTGACAGGAAGAAGAGACCTGAGTGGCGGTAAAGATTGTTAGGTTGTTTATAGGTTTCTATAGAATCTCGGATTTTTCGTTGGTTACATGCAAGAATTTTAGTTTTATCAAATAAAATTTAATGTCCGGTTTCGTAATTGTGTTCGGCAACAACCGCATATGTATGGAATATTGTAAACTCCTGACATCTCAAATGGAATTTTGTCTGTGATGGACCGAAGATGTTGAGAGATTTTTGGACAAGTGGTAAATCTGTGACCACAGTGGCAAGTGTAGGATTGCTTTCGGCCTCATTGCTATTGGAACGCTGTGGTGAAGTGTATTTTTTGATAGAACGCTTAATATTTTTAATGTGCAAATTATTAGACAAAAAAGCAGAGGTAGGGTGTTTTAATTCTGGGTTCAGTGCCTTTGCCTAGAAACAAGAGAGTTGATAACCGATGATTTTTCGACCAGATGGTGATGCATTAAGGTATCGGTCCTGTGTGTCCTTTTCTATAAACACAATGATTCAATGTCAGGCCTGATTTTCTATTGATAAGAAAATCTAAGAATGGAAGGTTATTATTAATTTCCAACTCAATGGTAAAACGTATGTTAGGGTGTATAGGGTTTAAATGTCTAAAAAATCTACTAGGGTTTCTTGACCATGAGGCCAAATAGAAGTATTATCGACGTAGCGTTTCCGTAATTTTGGTTTTAGATGAAAGGTTTCGAGAGCTTTCTTCTCAAAGTCTTCCATAAATATTTTCGCGATGACTGGTGATAGTGGAGAACCCATAGTTGTTGCTGACGTTTGTTCAAAAATTTGACAGCAAACAACCTAATAAATAATCTTAACCGCGACTCAGGTCTCTACCTGTCCGAGATGGTGTTTATGCCCCTCATTTAGCTCCGCCCCCCTCAAACAATACAGAGTAAAATGCGAGCCAGTTTCAGTCAAGCTCTGAAGAAGCCAACAGGATGACTGGTGAAACGTCAGCAACTTCGACTCAGCAAAAACCGACGCAGGAGGAATCCAGAAGTTTTGTACAAAGTATTGCAGTAGCCTGTGGAAGTTTCTTTGAAAAAAAATGATGCCTATTTTTGGAATGTACTGAAAATATAGCGAATATAGCGCTCTGTGTGGACTCCCGCATTAATAAGTACTGTATTCTATGGCACACCGTATAATCATCATCTGATTCCTAGGTACTCAAAATTATCCAATAAGACACAGTTAACTCTTTTATAAAAACGGCACTAAAAGCCCGTCCCGATCCTTTCTTCAAATTTTATATTTTCTTTTACCGGCACCTTTTGTCACTTATTTGCGCCAATAAATTTGTTTCGCTTGCTTTTGGTATATAAAGTTTGGACGCACCTTAAGGAAGAAACAGCGGTGATGAAAAAAAACGCGTGGTGGTGGGGTGGAACGTGTTTGATTCCAAGTAGAGTAAAGTAACCGTCTTTTAAAAAAAGTCAATAAATCTACCCCCACGGCGTATCGCAAAATTTGAAATCTCTTTTTACGCCAGATTACCTTGCTCGGAGTTTGTGCGGGGATTAGGAATGCTTCGCTAGATTCCTTTGTTACCTGAGCCGGAGGAATAAAATAAAATAACGAAGTGGGAATAAAATTGGGTACAAAATGAACAAAACCGGTGAAAAATGCTTTGCTAATGCGGATTCGTAAGACGAGACTTGCAGAATTTCTCGTAACGACTCAATTCGTGAAGAAAACCCAAACCACAAAGCTTACCGTCAAAGGAATCGTTTCACGTAAATATAACTGGGAAGAAAACATAAATGTAAATGTAATGTAAATGTAATGTAAATGTAATGTAAATGTAATGTAAATGTAATGTAAATGTAATGTAAATGTAATGTAAATGTAATGTAAATGTAATGTAAATGTAATGTAAATGTAATGTAAATGTAATGTAAATGTAATGTAAATGTAATGTAAATGTAATATGTCATATTACGATAATTTAGTCATGATTTTAACAATTTAGATAGGAAATATAATATACAAATGCGCGAGCAAAACACAATTTCATTGTGCGAATACTCTCGGGAAACTTTATGTTCCGGAATGGAATATTAAAGGGTACATCATGAGCCACTAATGCCGTTTTGTAATAAAATTCGACGAAACTAGAGCTGACAATACAAAATTAAACTCGGCAGGAAGCTTTGGTCGCTTTTAGACTATTATTAGTTTTTGACTCAAGCAAAAAATAAAACTTCTGCTGCGAATAATCTGTTTGTGTGCGGGAAATGCTTCAAAGTTTCGTTTGTGATTATTAGTTTGCTTTCGCCTGAAACAGTTTCCACCTTGACAATCGAGTTGTTGAGAGTAAAATTGAGACAAAATTAGTAGCAAAGTTCTCTCTAAAAAAACAAATAACGGAACAAACAATATTAAGCCCGATATTTTTTAACCTCAATATTTCCTTTATATTGGTACAAAAATCTTAGAGGGTTCGCTTCATATGGGAACATTTTTTCTGAATGAGCTTTAACCTACTTTGATCCTGAGGATGGGTTAAATTAATGGTATATTATGCAACAAGTGCGGTAAACGGCATTTGACTCACGAGTTTTTTTGACACGAGCGGAGCGAGTGTTTAATAAACGGGTGATTTGAAAAGTTTATCGAACGTGTTGCATATTATGCTTTTTGCTACGACCGTGAGCTTTTGGGTACATTTTCGCAAAACAACACATTCACTGACATGACCGTCAGTCAGAAATATCTCCGAAAACATCCGATTGCTTCCAAAACCCTGCGGGAAAATCCCGGAAATGTCCGAAGTGGGAAACGAAACTGACGTGGTAAAGTCACGTTTCCCGGACGCTAGATCGGTGTGTAATTAGGTATTTCACAGTCGGGAGTAGAAACAAGTTAACTAATTTATAAAAGTTTTTAAATGAGATCCCCATTGCTGAAAAAGTTGACATTTTTTACAAAAAATATAAAAAACATTTTGTTTTCACGTTTGAACAATGAACCAGAATTGGTGGAGCGTGTTTCTAGAACTTAATCTTACACATTCGATTTCAAAGAAAATTTTCAAATGCACCAATAGAAATCGTCAAAGTTGATGCACATAAAGTTTGATAGATTTTATTACACTTCGATGAGGCAACCTAATTATTATTTTTTTTAAAATTTTATTAACATCGATTAAAGTTTATTTCATTTTAAAATGTTAAACCGTTGGCGACTTCTATAGGTGCATTTCAAGATTCAGTGGTTTAGATATATAATTTTAAAGGGAAAACCTTTACTAAAGAATTTAATGTACAAGAGCAAACTTGGAAAATCGTAAAAAAAAAAAAATTTATCCGATTTTTTGAAAACCGGTACATTTGTAGAAAACTAAAATAGAAACAATTTTTTGAAATACATTTCTTTTAATGTTTTCAAAATTTGCCTAATTTTAAACTATATCTTTATTTTTAAAAAAATCAAGTTTCACAGATACATATACTTTCGTAGATTGGTTTAGTTGTTATTTTTGATTAAGTCTGCTAAGAAAATCTAACACACGAATGTGCTTATTTTAATTTTTTATTTTAAAACTAATTAGTTGAATCACTTTCAAACGACGCACATTTACTAATATAGATTAATAATAGATTATTTAATAAATAATTATATTGTTAAAAATTATTTTTCTAATTACCATGACATTACTTGAAAACGATATGTTTGCCATCTGATCCGAGCATAGCACAGCATAGAAAAAGTTGTGATTCTTAATATTCTGATCAACAACTGTACAATAGAACCTAATTGTTTTGTTAGTTTAGGTAATTGTTACCTAGTTTCTGTTGCGGTTTTTTTGTAGATACGTAGATTAAAAGCATTATATCGTATTTTTAATTGAAATAATTAAACATGATTGGTACTAAAATAGATTTTATTTTTATTTAATTACACATATATCTTAAGATTTTATTTTATTTTATTTCTTATATATAAATTACAGCTGTGGGTTCCGAATGTTTATAAAAATGTTAGTCGGACCTGAAATATAACTTAAAAAAGACAATTAACAATCGTATATTTTCCTAACTTGAGTTCAGTTAAAACCAAAGAGTTTTATGTTCGCCGTTATTACCGCCTAAATTACCATAACCATGTTGGACCTATCAAAAATTGATGATCTTTTATGTAGAGAATAACCACCTTTTTAAAACAAGCTTACTTTAAGTATTACTTTTACTACATTCTACTACTTCTACTATTTCTAACCTACGCTACGTTGGCGTGTTAGATGTTGCCGATTATTGATCTATTCTTCACAATAATCCATCACCAGGTGTTATGTTCAATAATATCGTAACCAAAACTACTCAAATGTAGAATTTTTAGTTTTTTTTTTTTTCTCGACAAAAGGCAATTTGTGATAAAAATAATAATTCTTAGGGACCATCAATTTAATGAACGTAAACTTCAACCAAAAAAACTTTTATAATTAATTAAAATATTTTTTGCGTTTAATGTAAACAAGGTTCGAGCAATCGTTTTTTTTTTTCGCGTACGCAATAATTAAATGAAATACAACGCGAACAAACCTTTGAATCCGTTTCTGGTTGGGCGACTCTCACTTCGAGCGTCCCTGACAACACGGCGTACCAACATTTGCCGGTATCGCCCTGGCGAAAAACTGAAATAATAAAAAAACATTGATCAACACGCGTATTAAAACGCTAACGGGCAGAAAACAAACAAACGGTCAAATTACCCGCAAGTCAAATACCATATCAGCGATTTATTACTTCCCTATATATGCGAGAGCGTTTGTAACGGTTTGTGAAACATCGATGAAATAAAAGGTTTTAACTGTCATAGACATATTCGAGTATGTGTTCATTATGGCTTTGTATATGCTACGAAACGATGAAAATTTGGTTCAGTTTATTAGTAATTCAGATGATATTTTAGCCTGTAGCATCGAGGCCGATTTCGTAGACTCAATCGCATTCAAAAAATGGTGCGATACAATTCTAATAACACAATACAGCAGCATTTAAGATAACAAATACGATTACAAATTAACATCTAACACATTTATGACTGCAATGGTTTCCGAGGTCGTCAAGGTATTATGAGATTTGTTGCATAATATGCTTAATTGATTCGAAATATACAATTAGAAAATTGCAGGCTGTTTTTGCGATTTTAATCTATTAAAATTCTTTGCCATTGAGGGGTATTCTGAATGTTATTGAAAAATGGAGGGGACATTCTCAATTCATTTTTTTACGATTTCTCTTTCCCTTTTTTGTTTTAAAACTTACAAAAAAATATTCACAATTTTTAGGCAATATTTAAATGGTCGGAATTAGCATTAACAATATTGTATTTTGATTGTGACATAAGTTATATTTAGTAAATAGGGTGTTTTTCCTCTTTTCCATATTATATTACACGTGTATGAAAAATTATGATTTTCAAAATAAACTGATTCTAAAAGATGTTTCTTTGTTGTATTCACCTAGTAGGTTTAGAGTTAATTTATAACAGTGTGCCAAAACAGAAAATAACTAACCTATGCAAATTGTAATAAAGCCATGGCAAACAATTTTTTTAAGTAAAATAGTAACAATTCTCACAGTGAGTGACGAATCCCTGAGAACTTGTCTTTAACAAAACCGAAAACTCTTCTAGTTTTTTATAGTGATATGGTATTGAAATAATAATGGACATCTGTTCGAACATCAATTAGTACTAAGTTTAAATGTTAACAGTTTATTACTAGAAATTTAATTTTTTACAAGTACTTCCCTGCATATTATTATGGGGCATTCTAAAATTATGAAAACTGTTGACATTGACATATGTTCACATCTATAAATAAAATATACCTTTTAAATTTCATGATAGTCATTTTTCTAAGACCATAAACAATTATAAAATAAGTAAGTTTCATTCATTTGATGCATTCGTTGTATTTTATGTACAGTTCTATTTATGCTTTTATCCGAATCAGAAATTATCCTAAATCAAAAATTCTTAACCAAAACGGTTGGTGGTAAAGATACCGCCATATATCAAGTAATTTAACCATTAAATTATCGGTGCGTAAGTTTAAGCACCGTTCACAATAGTGAAACGTTATATTTTGTCTATGTTTCTTCTAAGTCATGAGGATATTTACAATTTAAAATATCATATTTTTTTGTTTCTCTAAGATGGTACTGCTGAAGTGCCGCTAGTATAACTAGTGAAATTATAAATTTCTCAATTTTTAAATGAAACAGCGTCTCTAATACGTGTAAAATGTTCATTATTAGGCTTAACTTGAATGGGCTATAAATGTGACGGTAAACTTAATAATCGTATTACAAAGGGATTAAGCATCTTAGTTTCCTTTGCGAGGAAGATTTAATTTTATTGCAATTTAATAGCTTAATAAAACATATTTATAAACCTTAATTAAAGAGTTTTTCCGCAAGTTTTAGCAAAACTTCCATGATACCCGGATAATGCTTTTTATTTCGCTTTTAAATTTCGCCAATTTCCATAATTCTTTACGAAATATGAATTTTCAATGAACAATCTCGAAGTTGAGCCTTAAAGAAGGAAATTTCTCGCTCCCAACTTCAAACCACTAAAATATTAACTTGCAATTGTTCAAACAGAATCATTAAGGTAAGTGCCGCTCATTGTAAAAGGGAACTTTAGTGTAATTCGGGTGCTTTTGTAGTGCAATTTGAATCGTCTCTACTTCATCTGGATCAACAAATTCATTTTCAGAGTAATTTAAAGACTTACTTGAACTTGCTTTATTTGATTTGGAAAATATTAGAAACTTCATTTAACTAATTTGATAGTTAATTTATCATAAAATTTTAAAAATAGATACGAAAATATAGTCTAAAATAGTATTAAAAGATGCTGCAAATAGATTGAAATAGATGAGGATGTAGAACTTTTTTTCTCTCAAGTCTTGGGAAATATTGAAAAATCAATACAAACCTTCAGTATTATTGTTTTTTTTATAATAGTACGCGTAATGAAGAAATTTAAATTTACTGTGTCTGTTTAGAGACAGTTTCCTACATTATCGATGTTACGGCAAAATTGCTAACATCTTTCAAATAACGATAATAACCGAACTCGATGTACATTAACTTCTTTATTCCCTGAATATAATTATTATTGTTATAACTACAGAGAAATATTAATTATTTTCAGTGACTAACTACAGCATCATTATCAGTTTTTTTTATGATGCTAATATCTGGGAATGCTGCTGGTTAGTAAATATTTTGTTTAAAATATTAAATTCACATCAATTTTTCTCTTTTAATTCTTTAAAGAGAGTTCCACGGCTACTGCAATACTATCTACAAATTTGCGAGATTTTCTTAGCTTCTTAAACTCTATACACTCCAACATACGATTTACTATTGAATTAGCAACTAATAGTGATCTCCCTTTCTTAGATATTCTTATCAATAGAAAATCAGAATTAACATTGGGTCATTCAGTTTACAGGGAACCTAGGCACACAAACCCGATACTTTAATACATTGTCACATCACCCAACAATCATCGGTTATCAACCCTCTTATTTATAAAAGCCGTAAAACTATCAACTATCAACCCGAGTTGCTGAACCCCGAATTAAAGCACCTTGGATCTTTTCCTCTCTGTAATGATTTCCACATTAGAGATATTAAGCATTACATCACAAAATACTGTTCACCACAACCTTCCAAAGAAAATTAGTCCGAAAGCAACCCTAAACTTACTTTCAAAACCTCATCCAAAAATTCCTCAACATCTTTGATCCGTCAAAGACAAAGACAAAATTCCGTTTGAGATACCAAGAGTTTACAGCATTCCATGCATATGCGGCAAAGAATACATCGGAGAAATAGGACGAAAAATATCAGCTAAGCTAAAAAAACATGAACGAGCCTTAAGCCTACGACAAATCGGCAGTTACCGAACACAATCATGAAACCGGACATTAAATCTAATTCGATAAAACTGAAATTCTTGCATGTAATCAATTCTTCCGCCAGAGAAAAATCCGAGAACTCATAGAAATCTATAAGCAACTAAACATTCCTAGCCGCGATTCAGATCTTTACCATTCATCAATGAGACAATGTTAATGCTCCTCCTTTAGCTTCGTCCTCCTCAAAGAGTATATAAGCAGGTACAGTCTCAGTTAAGCTCTGCAGAAGCCAACAAGATAATTGGCGAAACTTCAGCAAATTCGATTTATTAAAAACCAACGCAGGAGGAATTCGGAAGACTTGTAAATAGTGATCAATTTTTCAATTACAAAATTTTACAAATTTTAATAATTTTAAAACACAACATCATTACAGTTATACATGCATGACTTATTGATGAAATTCGAAAATGATGTAACCAAAATGACGGTCTAATTAGTATCGGTTTTTCATAATATATTTTAACCACCTTAATACAATGACCTCAATACACCTTAATACAATGACCAAATCCATAGACTTTAATTAACATTTGAATGTATTGTACTATACCAAGAACGGAACGCTTTTTTTAAATTATATTTGCGTTTGTTTTACTAGGGTTGACTTTGGACATCTATTTTCTGATCCTTAAAGATATCAATATCAATAACATACACGACCTACAACAGCTAGTCAACAAGATAGGAGAACAGAGCAACTCAATGGGTCTGGCTATCAACACCAAAGAAACAAAGTTTATTGTTATATCTAGAATCCTAAATATCCTAAACCTTTTATTTAACGCAAAGCCCATTGAAAGGACATCTGGGCATCTGGCTTCGAACATGCGACAGGTATTCTGGAGGTTTTTAAAATTAATCAATGAAACGCTACGTTTGGTCAGTACTTATTTACCGTTTAGAAGGTTGAACACAATTGGAATACAATCAATAAATTGGAAGCCTTCGATATAAGGCTGCACCGCATAATAATAAAAATACCTTGGACGACCAAGCTAACAAACAAAGAGGTACTAAGATGTGTCAACAAATAACGTGGACTGTTTGAATTGATTAAGAAGAGAGAAACGTCATATCTGGGATATATAATTCGAAGACTGGAGAGGGATCGGAAGGAAAAAAATGTCTATGAAATTACAGACAGTGGACAGGGCTATAAGAAGAAAAATATCAAAAATATTTTATTTTCCAACAAATAAAGAAAATTTAACTCCAGATAGTTTTAACATACAGAATAAATAAGAGTGTCCTGAAATAGGAGACTGTAAACCTAATGACGTGTCCCAGAGTGAAGTTGGCGAGACCGGGTATTTTTGGCAAATATAGAAGTAATTATGCAATTTTATCTACTCAATTTTATAAACGCGAAATAAAAATGTTAAAGGGTGGCCCGCAGTAGCGCGTTTAGACGCCTCTCCTGGCTAATTTCCAATTATATTGTCGTGTTCAAATCCGATATTATTCTAATTTTCCACCGGCAGAATTGCACAACGGGTACTTTGCCTTCGGTTACGTAGACTGTTAATTAAATTTTGTTGCCGGAGCGGGCATTGCCAAATGTCGGTCTAGCAAGTAATTGCGGAGGCATAAGTAATCGGGCCCAACCACCTAAAGCCAACCGCACGCATGGTTACGAAAACCAAGCGTGCTTAAATGCCGTAATGTTATATAGGCGGACGCACTAATTTGCC